ATTACAGAAATGACAAGGTTAGCCCGCGGTTTTAGCTACTCGCTACAAAAGGATGTGGTCTCACCTGTGTCGGCTGACGTGATTTTTGCCTCGACCCATTTTCCCAAGTATAAAATTGGGGCAAACAATCAGATTTTGGAGGTCAAAGAGGATCCAAACATGTTGACCATGAAGGAAATAGTTGCCCGAGAGACCACATTGTTGTTTGAGAAACAGCAACGCCTCTCTGTACGTGATCTCACAAATAAGTTCGAAAAGGGACTTGCTGCTGCAGAAAAATTGTCAGATGAGGTGTAGTCCTTGTTGAATTTTATGATCTACGGATTGAATTTGCTATTACTGTTAGTAAAAGTGATGAAAGGGAAAAAGTAAGTGAGTGCCAGCCTCTGGCCGAATGGGAATGTGTACTAATTGTTGATGGTGCTCTCAAAATGCCGGTTGATGCTTCGGATTTTGTGATTTAGCTTCCGGTTTTTAGCACTATTAATTTCCTTGGGTCATCCTACAACAAATCACTTTTTTTTTTTTTTTTTNGTGCAATTTTTCTGAAAGTGGATGTGAAATACCTCCTGAGTCATGTTATGGAGTATCTCGAGTAAACTAGGTATTTAAAGTTTAGTTATAAGTTGATGGTGAAGAAGTGTGATTCTGTATTTTGTGAACTTGCTAATTTAGATGCTGATTTTGGCTCAAAGATTGAACTTTGATGTTTCCAAACTAGAGATGTCCTCCAAATGTCTCTTTCTTATTTTGCTATTTCTTTGTTTTTTAGGCAAGAGTTAAAGAGGCGGCTTCTTTGGAGAAACACGTGCTTCTGAAAAAACTTCGGGATGCACTCGAAGCTTTGAGAGGGCGCGTAGGTGGAAAGAACAAAGATGATGTGAAGGAAGCTATTTCTATTGTCAGAAATTCCTCCATCTCCTCTTTCCTTGAATAAAATTTTCCATATATATCTTTTTTCGTTTGTTGCATTTATTAATATTTTAATGTTTTGAAGGTTGAAGCTTTAGCGGTTCAGTTAACTCAGAGAGAAGGAGAGCTAATCCAAGAGAAAGCTGAAGTGAAAAAGCTGGCAACTTTTCTAAAGCAGGTTACATTGCATAACACACACACACACATTATGTTTGTTGTTTGATTTTACTATTTCCTTCTCCTTCGCTAGGCGAATGTAAGTAATAAATGATGTAAACTTAATAATTAAATGTAATCTCTGTCGTGGAGAAATTTGTTCAGCTTGTGTGTATTTGTACACGTGTGTTAGGTTTCTTCTGGAAAAATATCTTGCTTTTTTCTTTTCCTATTTTATAAGCTGTGTTCTTCACAGGCTTCGGAAGATGCTCGAAAGCTCGTTGATGAGGAAAGAGCTTTTGCACGTTCTGAGATTGAGAATGCAAGAGAAGCAGTGCAGAGAGTTGAGGAGGCTCTTCAGGAGCACGAAAGAATGTCTATAGCTTCAGGAAAGCAGGTTCAACATTATTTCTTCAGAACTAGAATAAGAATAATGTTTAAGTTATGAATTATGGCACTTGCAGGCTGCTGGTCTGTTCATGAATTTGAAATCTCTTACTAGATTTGGTGTGTGATGTTTGGCCTTCTGTCTTTTATAATCAGGACTTGGATGAATTGATGAAGGAAGTTCAAGAAGCTAGGCGAATTAAAATGCTGCATCAGCCTAGTAAGGTTAGTTTCATTTGCATTCTCATCCTTCTGAATTAAGGGCGTGTTTGCAAATTAACAAGAAAAAAAAAAGGTGATTCTTATCTTCATGCTCGAAAAATATAGAAAAGTATTTTTCCTGCTAAACTTTTGAGAGTAATTTTCTTGTTATCTACAATGAATTGAAGTTTTGGGTAGTAATTTTTTTTTTTTTTTCATTTCACCAGTAGTCTTTTGTGTATATTATTTTTAGTATTCTAGTGTAAAAGACATATTCAATGATGGGTATATGACTTCGAACTTGAAGTTTTTTTTATTTTTTTTTATTTTTTTTTATTTTTTTTATTTTATTATTATTTTTTTTTTCAATTTACCAGTAGTCTTTTGTGTATATTCTCTCTAGTATTCTAGTGTAAAAGACACTGTTTTTTGAAGGTCATGGACATGGAACATGAGATTAATGCATTAAGGACTCAACTTGCAGAAAAGGCGAAATGTTCATTACAGCTCCGGAAAGAGGTTTCTCTCTCATTATGCCTCTATTTCGCATCTTGTTCTATATCGTAATGTTAGGTCGTCTTTCTGTTGCATTTTTTCCTACAGAGATCTCAAGCCAAACTAATGCAAAAATGATTAAGTATTTATAGATTTGTGCATTTAACAATACTGCCATTTGAAGTAGAACTGTCATATAGGATTTCTTTATTTGGCTACACTGTAAATTTAGATTTGTAAATAAAATATGAGGAACTACTAAGTATCACATTCTCGTGTATCATTTACAGATAATAGCTTAGATACCTAAATATTTTCAATTTTCTTTATGAAAATTGAGTCAGCTTTGATTTATGAGATCTGATTTCCATGAACATTTTCAGCTGGCAATTAGCAAGAAAGGTGATAAAAACACGCCCAATTTGTATGAAATAGACGGCATAGAGGCATTGGGTTCATGTCTGCAGATATATCCATGTTTGGACAGTGCTCCCGATCTTTCTGAAAGTACTATTCAATGGTACCGGTTGACATCTGAGGGTGACAAAATGGAACTTATATCAGGTAAAGTTGCAAACGATATAATCTGCTCTGCGCAGCTAGGCTTTTTTTGAGATAAATTG